TAAAATCTAAGGCTGAAGTTAAATCTCATATACAAAACTTTGTTGCTTTGATAGAAAATCAATTTGAGACCACAATTAAGTGCATTCGATCTGATAATGGGCCTGAATTTTTGATAAAAGATTTCTTTTATTAAAAAGGAATAATTAATCAAACAAGTTGTGTTTACACTCCTCAACAAAACGAAAGGGTTGAACGAAAGCATCAACACATCTTAAACGTTGTTAGGGCCCCCATGTTTCAATCTCAAATACCAAACAACTTTTGGTCCTATGCAATCAAACATGCTATTTTCTTAATCAATCGTGTACCCTCTCCCGTTATTTAAAAAAAATACCTTTTGAACTTCTTTACAAACAATAACTAGATTTTTCAATGCTCAAGGTTTTTGGTTGTATGTGTTTTGCTTCCATAGACACCCATCATCACAAATTTGAAGCTAGATCCCGAAAAGGGATTTTCTTAGGATTTCAAAATGGCATAAAAAGGTACATTATCATGGATTTAAACACTAAACCAACCTTCATTTCTAGGAATGTCATTTTTCATGAAATGGATTTTCCATTTCATCAAAATGAAAACAAAAATGAACCACAACCCACATTCACACCACCAAGATTACTTGACACAGATTCCATATTTGGGTCACCTTTGGCCCAATCCTTCCCTCAAGAATCTTCTCCCTCTAGAAACCTCAAACGTGCCTAACCCACCATCATCAACGAGTTGTTCGCAACCTCCCATACTCGAAAATGACTCACCACTAGCTTCCCATCTTCATCAAGAGCCACCTATTTCACCTCCTCATCAAGAACAACTTCCCCCTCGTCGTTCTACCAGACCAAGCCACATTCTCTCATATCTTGACAATTACTAGGTTGATCTGCCCTCTCAACATCTACCCTCTCAACGCTCTGTGAATCAATCTTCTTCAACCTGTTGCATCCAATACAATCGTCTCTATCCTATTCCAAAATTTCTCTTTCCCACTGTCATTTCCTCATGGCATTATCATTAGAGGTTGAACCACAAAGCTATCAAGAAGCTGCACAGCATTCTCATTGGAGAAAAGCTATGAATTGTGAAATTGGGGCTTTGATGATGAACAAGACCTGGGATATTGTCCCCACTCCTAATCATGTTTGGCCAATTGGCTGCAAATGGGTATATAAAATTAAATGTTTACCTGATGGGAGTATCGAATGATACAAGGCGCGTCTCGTGGTAAAGGGGTTTTCTCAAATTGAAGGAATTGATTATTTCGAAACCTTCTCCCCTGTAGTAAAGATAACAACAATTCGAGTTGTACTGGCTATAGCTTCAATCAATCAATGGAACCTATTCTAGCTGGGCGTTAACAATGCGTTCCTCCATGGTGAACTATCAGAGGATGTTTATATGATTATCCCACTAGGAGTCCATGGTGACACTTCGTCCCATTGCTGTAAGTTGTGCAAATCATTGTACGGATTGAAGTAGGCTAGTCGAAAGTGGTATGAAAAACTTTCCAATTTGTTGTTATCTTGTGGTTATAAACATTCACATGCTGATCATGGCTTATTTATTAAAACTAACAAGTCTGATATAACTGCTCTCATTATATACATTGATGACATCGTTTTGACTGGGAATTTTGATAAAGAAATAAATAGGACCAAGCAGATTTTGCATTCCAATTTCCATCTCAAAGATTTGGGAATTTTGAAATACTTTTTGGGTATTAAAGTAGCTCATTCCAAATGAGGCATATCACTTTGTCAACGGAAATATTGTCTTGAACTTTTAGAGGACTCAGGAATGCTTGGATGTAAACCTTCTTCTGCACCAATGGATAGTGCTCTCAGGCTTCAGGTTGATTGTGTTGATCTGCTTCCTGATTCATTGCCTTATAGAAGCCTTGTGGGGCGTCTGATTTATCTAACAAGCACACGACCAGATATTGCTTTTTCCACACAATAGCTAAGTCAGTTTATGTCTAATCCAACACAGGCACACCACAATGCAGCACTTAGAGTCCTCTGCTATCTAAAGGGGTGTCCCGGAAAAAGACTTTTCTTTCCTAGAAATTGCAACACTCAAATCCCCAGTTTTAGTGATGCGGATCGGGCAACATGTGTGAATATGAGACGATCAATCACTGGATATTTCTTTTTTGTTGGCCATTCTCTTGTTTCATGGAAAGCAAAGAAGCAAAATACCGTTTCTCATTCGTCTGCAGAAGTAGAATATCGTGCCCTTACTTCAACCACTTGTGAGCTACAGTGGCTCATCTATTTACTTAGAGATCTTCAAGTCCCTTAGTTGATTCAATCAATTCTTTATTGTGACAATCAAAGCGCGTTGCACATCGCTGCTAATCCCATTTTTCAGAAAGAACGAAGCACTTGGATATAGATTGTCATCTTGTCAAGGAAAAATACCAAGCTGGTCTAATGAAACTACTTGCGGTTCCCTTTTCTAACCAACTAGCAGACATGTTCACCAAGGCTCTACCTCCTCAGCCCTTTGGAATCAATTTATCCAAGCTGCAGCTAGTTGATATGTTCCTACCTTCAGCTTGTGGGGGCTAATAGAAGAACCTCATGACTCAAGCTTAACCACAACATAATCACATAAATATTGTACTAGCATCTTCTCATTTATTTTTCTGCATTATTCTATTTTATGAGTTGTAAATACCTAGACCTTTCTAGAATTAGTGTGTTATACATATAGTACACGTGATAAAAGAATATGTCACTCTTCCTTTTTTTATTCCTTCTTATCATTAGGACTAGGACATTCTATATAATGTAATGATTTTGACACAGAAATATAAGAAGAAAGTTTTCACCTTTATACATTATTTGTTTATGTTTTACACAGGTATAAAATCTATTTATTGTACAAATAACAAGTATTCCTCCATGTTTTAATTTAAAGGTACCTTATTAATTAACCACTAAATTTATGTGTAATTTCTTATTTACAGTTGGTGTTATTTTTTAATTAAAATTAAAATTTTATCTTAAGAATTATATGTACATTTAATAAATATATATTATTGAAATATAAATTAATTGTAATTGCTTATTATGAAATATAACTCAAATTCTATTTCACCTAAATCTGATCAATTAATTAATTATTTTTTTTATCAATTGATCTTCGAGACACAACGGAGCAAGCCAACAATGATATTGGTTTTGAACAACTTCAATACAAGTTGAAGCTTATTACTTATTAGGATGATACCAAAATATACTTCTTATCTTCTCTATTATAAGAAGTAGAAAAAAAATAATTTTATGTATATTAAAAAAATTAGTTATTTATGTTAATTTTACTAATTTTATAATATATTTTTAAATTATCTTTAATAAATGATAAAAGAAATAATATAACTAAAAGAACATACATTTTAGTAAAAATATCATTTATAAAAATAGTTAAAATTTGTTTATATTTAAATTTTTTTTTACTTATAATATAAATCAGAAGGAATATTTTACATTTATTTTTATTGCATGATGGTAGGATCTAAAACTTTATACATACTACTTCAATTTCATACCATTGAAGTGTCACAACCAACAGTTCTTGCAACTAAGGTAGTGTTTGTTTCCAGGGATTTACTGTTCACGAGCAAGGAAAGGCGAAGAAAATTGTTGTTTGTTTCTAGTGATTTGCGACGACGAAAAGGTGAAGAAAAGGGGAGAGAAGCGTGGTTCGCGTCTCGCACAAAAGCGAAGAAAGGAGAAGAAAGTCACGTAGAATTTGTGAAAACTCAGAAATGCCCCTGTCCCATGCATGTATAATCGATTATACGAAGGAAATGCATGCATAATCGATTATACGAAGGAAGCATAATCGATTATGGTTGGCCACATAATCGATTATGGCATTGCATAATCAATTATGCCTGAGCATAATTGATGATGCAATGCCATAATCGATAAGCATAATCGATTATGCTGGGGTATTTTTGCTTGCAGTGGAACCCAGAACGGCCCGTTCCAAAAATGAATTTTATGAGTAAAATGCGTACTCAGAACGGGCCGTTCCACTTTGGGAACGGGCCGTTCCAATTTGGGAACGGGTCGTTCCAATTTTGGAACGGGCCGTTCTGGGTAACAAATTTTGGGATAGGAAATGAGTCCAGAACGGGCCGTTCCACTTTTGGAACGGGCCGTTCTGGCCACATTAATTACTTAATAAATAATTATTATTTAATACTCTTTTTCATATATATATATAATATTAATATTTAATATATAATACCTTAAATTAAATATAATTATTTAATATTAATATTTAATTTATATATATATATATATATATAAATTAAATATGAAAATTAAATATTAATATTTCTATCTTCTCACTTTTATATATATTAAAGTTCGGTTATCTATTTTTAGGGTTTATTGTACATTTTTTTTATATTAAGAAAATTCTATTATTTAAATATTGACATTAAAAAGTGGAAATATAAAAAAAATAAAGTAATACATGTTTATAAAATTAAAATAATAACACTTTCATAAACATTAATAAAATAATGTTACAAAATATAATTATCATAATATATTTTGTTATTATTATTTATTATTATAAATATTATTATTTTCATTTTTATTAATATTATTATTATTTATTATAATTAGTATCATTATTATTTATTATGATTCTTATTATTTTTCTAATATTTATTATTATTCTTATCATTATTTATTATTTTTTAATAAATTATACCTATTAATATAATTTTATTGTAATTATTATTATTTACAATAAATAATATTATACTCATTTTTAATCCAAGGGTAAAAGTGTAAATTATATATTCATCTATTAAATTTTTAATTTTTATCTATCATTAAATTTAAAGTAAATATTTAAATTAAATTATTTTGAAATTAATATTTTATAATTTTTTTAATTAAAATTTATATATTTATCTTTTAATTATAATAATTATAAACTTTTTTTTAACTTAAGGGCAAAATAGTAATCTTACATAATTATCAATTAAAAATTTTATTTTTATCTATCACATCAATCAATTCACTCACAAACTTTCACAAACTTTCTCTACACTTTCCATTCACTTTTCCTTAATCTAAACAACCTCACTTTCCACTCACTTTCCCTTCAAATCCCTCCTTTTCCACTCCCCATTTTCCATCCTCAAATCCAAACAAAGCATAAAAGAATTATAACATTTCCCTGCAGATAAAACAAATATATGAATTCCAATCACACAACACAATGAATTTGCTTGTTCAGTTATTACAATATGGATGTTTTCCCCCCCACCATTTTGATTCAGGGGCAAAACGTGATGTGATAGTTTGCTCCCCCAGAGCAAGTGAAAGTGCTAGACCTATCATCATAAGCATAGCTATAGGCCTGAGGGCACTGATTCTTGAAAACAATAGAATAAGGGGTTGGTGAGCACTTATCAGCTGAAGCAAAGGGTCCAGTGCAACAATACTCAGGTTGCTCCAATGCCAAACATGCACTCTTGCAAGCAATGACACTTCCATCAGACCCCTTGACAGCAAAATTTGGAGGACAAATTCTGTTCACATCAGCAGGGCAGCTAGTTGTGTTGCACCCTTCTGGGGCCACAGACACTGCCAGGTTGAAGCCATCAACAAGGCTAACATCATAGAAGTCTAGTCCTTCCTTATTTGGAGCCAAACTGAGTTCCACCAAAGAAACTGGAGGGGTGCCACCTATTGAGAATATCTAAATATCTTTAGTTATAAATCAACATATAAAAAATAAAGTTAACAATAAATAAAAAATATAAAAGAAATTTAACTATTTTAAAAACTAATAATTATTACTTATAATTAAAACCAAAGTTAATATTTTAGATAAAAATGGTATTGTTTGAGAAATGTTATTTGCTATATAAATAAAGAATGCATGAATAAATTTAGATCAAATTTGTCTGATTAAAAATATATCTCTATAAAATACAAATACAAAAGAACCTATCACCACCTGCACCATTGCATGGCACTTGGTGAGATCCACAGTCACCAGTGGCACAAGTGAATCTGCCATGTGAGTCTGTTGAGCAATGAGTCCTTGCCCAGAATCTGCCAGACCATAGAGGTGGCACATCAAGATTGAATGAGGCTTTTGGGGTTAGCTCAAAGCCAGTTGAAGGTAACTGTGAGGTGCCACCCCCTGTGAGAGTGGCTGGCCATATGGTGAATGCACAATTGTTTGTGATTGTGAATGTTGATGTGTATGCCCCTACATCCATAGATATGATTGTATTTTAAAATTGATAATTAAATATTAATATATATTTATAAGATGACTTTTATTAATTAGATTAACTTTTATCTCAAAATACACCTTACAACTATAGAAGAAAAAAGACTTGATGAGAGATATAAATATAGATCAAACATATAATATTGGTTGAAAACTTGAAACTAAAACTTGCCTGATAGAAGGGTGGATAAGGTGAGAACAAAAAATGAAGTGACTTCCATTTGTTAATGCTTTTGATTTTGCCACTTGGAAGACTTTGTTGTTGTATCATGCAGAGTTAGAATTTTCTCTCAATATATATAATGAATGGGTTAATGGATCATGTGTGATTCAATCATTTCCTGTGTCTTATACAAGGAGTGTTTTGATAAGCTTCAACAATAAAATTGATACCTTTTGCAGAAATAAGCATCCTTGTTTTTTCTTTCTTACAAGCATGATTCATAAAAGAGAATTTTACTCAAATCACTATCAAATATCAAATGTAAGTATCCTTATTTTAGTATTTTTAGTATCCTTTCTTTCTTACAAGCATCCTTGTTTTAGTATTTTTTTTCCCACGTGTACTTTTCGGAGACATTCCTGTTTGAACTACTGATAGACACTGAATATAAACACTTACTGTTGTGAAGATTTGAGTCTTAATTCACCATATTACATGATATTTTATGCTAAATGAATTTTTTGATTCTCTTAACAAAGGTTTCAATCGTGATACATCATTTTTGAAAACAAAATTTTCCTATTAGACTTAAATCTCAGATTAAAAATAACCATCGACATTTGATATTATTTATTTAATCTATACTTTAATTCTATACTATATCTCTATTATTAAATTAACAACTAATTTAGAGCATCATTAAACTATTTTTTAATAAAAGGCAGCGTGACTAATCAATCAATAATCCACTGATAGGAGTAGGACCATTTCATTCCAACTTTTTTTAATGTTTCTTTTGCTTTCAAGAAATTCCATGGATTCATTCTGAAGTAACCAGTATAATTAACCCCATCCTCATGCCTCAATCACTCACAAAATGTTCAATAAAAAACTTTATCTTGATCCATTAAGTCAATTAATTGGTAAATATTAAAGGATACTTTTCTGGGATTTTATTATGTAATCTTATACAAGACTTAATTAGCCCTTGTCTCAAGTTTGAACTCACTTTAAACGACCAACTTCAAATCAAATCTCAGTGCCACGAAACCACCACTAGCCAGATTTCATGAAGACAAAAAGAATTGCATGTAAAATTAATTGTTATAGTGAATGTTTTTTTTTTTTTTTAAAAAAAGTCTGATAAAATATATGCATGAGTCCTGGTTCAGCGCACCAGAGAAAATTATCTACGCAACAGAGAATAATAAATAAATGAAAGTGTTATAAATATGGGTATTAGTGAGAGTGATCAGATAAGCATCAGGGATGTTGGATTGGATGTTTGAAAAATTAAAATCGAACTGAATATTTTTATAAAAGTAGATTAGTTAACGATCTATTTTTTTATAAAGTAAATTAATTTGATTTTTTAAAATATAAATTAATTTTTTTTAAAATTAGATTGATTATTTATATTTTTATTTATATATAAATCAATTTTTTAAATAATTAAATCAAACAGATCTATTTTATAAAAATAAATTAAATAATTTAACTAATTTTATAAAATAAATTAATTAGTTAACGATCTATTTTTTTATAAAGTAAATTAATTTGATTTTTTAAAATATAAATTAATTTTTTTTAAAATTAGATTGATTATTTATATTTTTATTTATATATAAATCAATTTTTTAAATAATTAAATCAAACAGATCTATTTTATAAAAATAAATTAAATAATTTAACTAATTTTATAAAATAAATTAATTTAAACTTTTTTATTTATTAAAACGATTGAATTTTTTAATATAGATTGAATTGGTTATAGATCGATTTAAATTAATTTTAAAAAAATTTCACATTCCTATCAAACATGATTGGTATAGAACATTTTTCTTATAGATATAATGATAAATGCTTTATCTATAAAGGAGTGTGTTATGAAACAGATAAAGGTTAAGTAATTTCATGGACATATTTAATTAAGAAAAATTTAGAATCACTTTTCATGGGTGAAATGTCTTATTTCATTTAGCAAATTACCAGAGCCATTGATTTTGAAAGGTCTATATATAATATACATACCATGTGTAACTTATTTTTATTTTTATATATTTTAAGGCTCGCGGATACATAATAGACTAATTATTTTATATTGATATAGGCTATTATTTGTTGTGTCAATAACATATTTTAATGACAAATTGTGATGATGTCATGTTTGCCAAAATTAATTAGTACAAAAAAAATTGATTAAAAACCAAATTTAGTTAATAAGTAAGACTTTTAAATAATTTCCAAAATTAAAGTACTAACATTTCTCCATGATCTTTTTTCCTTCTCTAGAACAAACCCATTGATTGTGGGTACTTGTGACACGTTCCACTTGTCACCACATACAACATCCTCACCCATGCTCATACACACTTGTCACCAAATCGTGCAAATCGCAGCCACGCATCACAAATTCACAACACCCTTTGGATCATATAAATACAAATCCAACGAATTTCACCACCTTGTTCAAAATCTTCATTCACAATATCATGGCCAAGAGCAAAGATGACATAAAGTATGGAACAGCACAAGCAAGGCTTTCCGAAGATGAAGCATTGAGAGTGGCGTACAAGCATGGCACGCCACTCGAAGCAGGAAAAATTGCTGAATCTGAACCAGTTGACATGTTTGCAAGTGCACACAATGTTCCAAAGAGCCATGGTCACACAACAACAATGGGTTCAAACACTAGTGGCCATAATGATCATAATGATAATCAATCTCAGTTGCAACGTGACCAACAAGAATTCACTACTGGGCCACCTCGATTGCCCCAGAAGGGGCACCCTCCAACAATGGGTCATAAGTCTTAAAATTTTAGGGCATATGATGATGATTGTGTAGACAACCTTATGAAGTATGTGCACTTCTTAGGTTTGTTTTTGTCTACTCTTGTGTTGTTAATTTCTTGTGTTATGGTTTTCCCTAATATGAGTCATGACATGACTTATCTTGTATACCTAAGTTTTTCTTCACCCCACTTTTCCTAATAAAGTAGAAAATTTGTTTAGAAATTAATGTTGCCATCTTTTCAAGGGGTTGAAAAATGAAACGAAACCACATGGTCCCTCTCATCTCCTAATTTTGACTCAATTTCGGTTAGATTCCATATTTTAATATAATTATTATTTTAGCCTATTTGTATAAGCTAAATATTTAATATATAACTAAAATTTATCATAAATTATAAATATAAATAAATGTTATAATTTTTTTAACTATATTATTGATATATATTATATTTAAATATAAATATATTATATTTTTTTAACTATATTATCTGTATGAAGATATTATTTACAAAGTATTTTCATGACTACGAAGTATTTATATGACCTTATCGATACACTAATCTCCATGTATCTTATGGACTAATCTCCATAACTAGACTAATGAGTTTTTCTCTCCTAATCACTTTTTTTTTCTCCTTCTAAATACAGTGTTGGGTTTCCTTTGCTTAAGGATATGTTTTGAGGTGTATGAAGCCAGCATTATTTGCTTACGATAAGCTTCGAAACATACATTTTGTGTTAAGTTTGGCTACATTTCTTTTAATAGAAATTTTTGTTTTTAATTACATTGTTCGTGCATGTGGTGAAGCAATAATGGGAACCAGCTCTGTTACCTTCACTTCAGCATTCATGGGTCTGTCTTCAATGTTCTCATCACCAACAGTCTGAATGACATGCAATTATTCCTTTGAGAGATGACATGCATTTAAGTTTGTTCCATACTTCTGAACAGTGGATGGGAGTTTTATGAAGTTATTAGGTATTATGAGATGATGTTACAGTTTAGGCTGTTGATTACTGTTTTAAGTCTGGTTACGCGAGGGTCGGTCGAACCTTCTTTTGTGATTGGGAAGTCCTTCAAATGGAAGCATACCCTCCACCAATTGTTTTTACTTTTTACTCTATTGTTTGAGTGGGCTCATTAGCTTATATAATACTCTATTATAAAAGTGTCAAGGAAAACTAAACATTAATAATAATAATAACCTATAATAATATATAAAAAATTTAAATATTTAATCATTTTTAAATTATTTTTATGAAATAAAATATAGAGAGAAAATTATTTAATCCCCTAATAATAATCTATAACAATATATAAAATTAAATTTTTTTTAATCATTTTCATGCATATATTTTAAGACAATTTTATTCTTTATGTATTATGATAATTATACATAGTAGATAATAACTTTATAATTTTACTTAATTAACTTAAATAAAAATTATTATTTTTAAAAATAAACTATATTTTGTAACTTCTACATTCTATAATACTAACAAAACCAAAACATAGAGTACTTTTTTTAATAATAATAATAATAATAAATGCATTTTGTTGGAAGATGTCCTGTAGCCATCCGATAAACCTAAGAAGTGGTGATAAAAAAAAGTTATAAAAAAATTAACTGAAGTTATAATTAACTAGTTTCATAATAATTGGTTATTTAAAAATATTATAAAAATTAATCATATATTAAGTGATTATTAGCTATAACTAAATTAACTATAATTAACCAATTTTTATAATAACTAGTTATTTTAAAAAATAATTATAAAAATTAATCATATTTTAAGTGATTATTAACTATAACTATTTTTTTTTGTAACTATTCTTTTATAACCGATTTTAGTTTATTATTTCAAAATCAGTTATATATCGTAACCGGTTATGACCAAAATCATTTTTACAATTTAAAAAAAATTAATTTTTAAATTAATGAACATTATAAAATTTATAATAAATAATTTTTAACATATAAATAATATTAATTTTAAATAATTTTAAATAAATATAAAAAGTATTTTAATTATTGATAATTTATTTAAAAATATTAAAATTTAATGTATAAATTAAAAATAATAAATTAGAAACACTAATTTAAAATTTTCAAAAAAAATCTTATTAAAGAAAAATAACTAAAAACATTATCGTTAGAAAATAATTTTTAAAAACACTCATTCAAAATAACTATTTTAATCTATATTATCATACTAATTAATTAGGTCAATACATCTTTTTAAGATACATATTCTATTAATGGTTTTACTCTTAATTTCCAAAACATTAGTTTCTCTTCCATAGTTTTTATTTAATTTTTTTCTCTTTGTAATTTTAATTTTCAAACATCTCATATCCTTCAAAACTCCACCCAAAACTCTTCACACTCTGTAATTGTTAATTACTCACATATTTATCTTCAAATTTGTTTTCTTTTTATACTTTACATAAAATTTACAAAGACAAGAAATACCATTTTCTGCTAGTTTATTTTACAAAGATTGTTAATATATAAAACTATTGTAAAAGTATATTAAATATAAAATTAGTCTTTTATTTTTTTCCTTTAAAACCAGTTATATAACTGTTTTAAAAATATAATCGATTATATAACCGGTTATTAAAAATTTAAAACAGGTTATTCTAAATCATAACTGGTTATGATTAAGTTATCATAACTATTTATAGATATAGTTATTAAATGGTAATGGTTAGATTATTTAAATAAATAACCTACCCATGAGCACGCACCCCTACTAAGAAACATTTATATATGTATAATAGTGGCCATAGAAGATAGTTTCTTCACGTCAGATAGTCGCAGAATTTGTTGCATTCATTTGTTTGACAAGACTTGCATGCTAACAGTATCAGAATATTTGAAATATTATGGTGTCTGCATATTCTTAGACAGTTTCACAGCGTCCTCTAGTATATAATGTCGCAAAACTCAAGATTGTTTCCGCCAATACATGGTATTTCATCTCAATGGATTACAGGTTTCAAGGGATGAGCTCTGAGTTTTGACAAATCCAGACTAGAATCCAGATCTTCATCAAGTTCACCAACAACGCTTCTGCAATGACCAAAGGGGAACCATACAGGTTTTAGGGTATAAAAGTTGTGCAACAATGTGAAATCTATATGATACACAAATTGAGAGGTGATGGAGTATAGGGACATACATGTTGTCGCCCCTGATGATGTACAGACCTAGAACTAGTTGTTGCACACCTTCCTGTAGTTGGAAACAAGAATTATGATGACATCAGGAAGATAGAAAAATTGTGCAAGACTTAAACCGTCACTTTCAAGGAAAAGTCTGCAGTTAATACAAAATTTAAATGAAGTAAAGATTCAAAATTAACAAAGAATTGATAATTACTAGTACAACAATCCAAAAGTGAACAGTGGCTTTAGAGGAAGTAAACACATCTTTACGGTCCGATGTCTTAATGGCTGTGATCAGAACTTTTTATTATAATTTCATTAATTTTTTAAAAATGTACAGATATATACAGATATATGAAGATTATCCCTCTCCACGGTCCCAACTGATTCCATCTGTTTACACCATTAGCAAAGCCACGATGGGGCATCAGGAGATGCAACCAATCAAGCAATAGACTTTGTGACCCCAAAACCAAAAGGCTTTAGTTCATTTTACTCTAATCGTTAATCTAACAGTTCCTGTTCCACTTCACATTTTTTGCACTCTAATTCCCCTTAAACATAGTCACTTGCTTTCAAGGATCCAATAATGGAGAACAAGATGGAGGATATCTATAATACAAAATAGAGGAGCACAATACAAAATAAAAAAACAGTGCTACAGCCATTGCAGAGACAGACAAATATTGCAGAAAAAATTTTCCAGATACAAGTAGAAATAATAGCATACAAATATCAATCAAATGGACAAAAATATCAGTGCAAACATTGATTATATACAAAGACAGTAAAATTTCTTCAATCAAATGAACGAAAATTTAGAACTTCTAAAGTACAAAAAAGTAGTTTGATTTTTGGGAGTTGGGATCATAGAGCCAAAGGGTTTTCGCTCAACTAGAAGGGTGAATATCTATAAACATTCTATTTTAACAAGAAATAAAAGTAAAATGACTTGGGAGGTAAAAATTGGAGATGCCATATCACAAAATTTCTAAGTTAAAGTACTTGTGATTAACATTACAAAATGATGGAAAAACTAATGATGTTACATACAAGATACAAGCTCAAGGTTAAAATGGAGAAAGACATTTGGGGATGAAGGTTATTTATGACTGCAAAGTACCTACCAAGTTCAAAACGAAGTCTTATTGTATTACTGTACGATCAGCTATACTCTGGTAAAAATGTGAGTAACACTAGTAAAAATGAGAATGTTAAAATGGATACAAAATTATACGAGAAGATATTGGTATGACGCCCATTGAGGAAAAAAAAAGACAAAAGTAGTTAAGGTGGTTTAGACATGTTCAAAGAAGGCTACTAGAGGCACTGATGAACAAAGTATATCAGATGATTTATAGCCCTGTAAAAAGGGGTAGAGGAAGACCAAAAAGAACATTGGAGGAAATTAATTAAAGGGGTCTCATGATCAATATTCAATAGCACATTTGAAAATTTGGTTTCTAACCAATCCCAATGACTTACTGTATTCCATGAAATCGACCTCTCCTAGTAAGATGAGGCTATTGATGTTGTTGGGATTACAAAACCAATTTCACAACAAATGGTCTTTCTTAATCATAGACAAATGCCTCCCAGACTCAGATGTAACTAACCAAGGTTGTTAAAATCAAGATTTTACCTAAGATTGGAAAGGAGGTAAAAACTCATAACTCGAAGATCGTAATTCGCATCGTAACATCCTACACTTCTGCCTAAAATGCTTATAATGCATATAAATAAAAAATAACATAGATAAAGAAAATAATCAATAAATCATAATATTAAACAAATTTAAACCAAAAGTTCATCATCAGAATTTTATAATAGATTAATAGAATTAAAATTTATAATTATATGTTGCGTTTTATTTAGTTTTTGAATTTACTATTATTTAGTTTATTAAATATATGTCAGTGTTATGTTTTACATAATTTATTTTATTTCTTTATTATTATAATTATTTAATTTTTTGTTATTACATTTAGTACATTATATGCTATACTAATTTCAAAAACAATTAAAAGAAATTAAACTTAATTCAAAAAAGGCCTAACAGACTTAATGGAAAAAAAAAAAAGACAAAAACTTGAAACGTTGGGCCCATTGGCCCAATTCTCTAAACCCTAATCCTTTCTTAAATTTATCCCTAGATGACTTCATGCGGAACATGGCTCAGTGTTGTCTCCTAAGGCAGGTTAGTGGTGACAGTGCAGCTTTGATATTCAGCTGCTTCAATGGCAGCAAAGAGGTTGCAAATGGAAAAGGAAATAGGATCATGTGGCGAATGAGTGTTTCTCAATTGGGGAGGAATTATATTTTTAGGTTTTGCAACATCATTGGGAATTGACAATTATACATTTTTGTGAGAAAAATCGCAATTTTGCTACGATCCTACCTCCCAGCAACCTATCTCCAATTTAGCATGGAACCCCTTCCTTGAGATGTAGAGTCGTGCGATTTAACTCGTTAAATCACGATTTTAATAACACTATAACTAACATTAAGCATAGAAGACATGGATCTTGCCTGTGACTTATGCAGAATGCCAGAATCTAATGCTGCATCCTAGCCTTGCTTGTCATCTAATAGAGAGAACAAGTAGGCAAGAGGGATATGTTTTATGTGTTCTATATTAAATATTTTAAGAACATTATAATGAAAAAGTGAGAATGTTCCTTTTAGAGGAGCCAAGCCTAAAGGCTAAATATAAATATTATATTCGTTTAAGCTATGACTCATTAATCATTGAAGGAATTTTTCTGCAGTTGCATAATTTCATCATACCTTTGTAGAATAAACTCGTTCATGGGACTCATCAAGAATTATATTTGTCGCCTGGTCAAAACCTTTGAGGACTCCCTGAACAAAGTGGGATTGTAATTAGATGTTAGTGCAATTACACTTAGTAACACACTACAAATTTTCTAGAGCTAATTTTGTTCATATACAAAAGCTCACCACTATATTTCGTCCATCATTTGTAATGACTGAAATTGTCTCTGTCAACAACCAAAAGATTCAGTAAGAAATAGCAACTACTAGCCTGATTTAAAGCATATCTCACAGAACAACAATTTGATGGAGAATTAGTTTTAAATGCTTCATTAACTTAAATAATTTCCAGAAATAAGTACAAATATAACTATGTATAGAAAACCAAACATCAAAGCAAAACATAAATATTCACAGATGGCTTACGATCTACAAGAGACTCAAGTCCAGGACCAGCTGACATCTTGCGTCTCTAGATAGCTAACACACTTGTTCTCAAACCTGTATAAACTTCACTGTCAAAACACTAATTAAAACAACACAAATGTACATTAAATCAGTTAGATCAGAAATACAATGTCACAACTCACAAATAAATCAAGCATTAGCTTCAACAGCAGGATTATACCAGTACTTTGACATAACGGTTGCATAAAAAAAATATGAACAATTATAATTAGACAGAAAAATAAAAATGTTGATGAAAGATTACTAACAAGATCTCACTCATATAACTTATTTCAATACACATCTGAAAATTTTCGGACAAACGCCACCCCTCTTATTTGAAAAAGGCAAAAATAAAACAAACCTTATCAACCCTAAAAGCACAAAATTGTAATAACATCAGAAAATGAGTACATAAAGTTGCTCTGTGTAAGATTGTTAGAAACCTAGAGTAACTCACAACAAAACATATCCCACGAACAAAGATCAACATTTAGCATATAATCCCAAGAGCAACCACTGTTGAATAACACAAAAAACGAGTCAACAAGTTGGTTCAGGACAAGTAAGTGTAAGATCATCAGAAACCTATAATGCCAGAGTTACAATTCATTGTTAATAAAATCCTCAGTTAATCCCGTAATATAATCAATGTAAACCTAACATTTTCGGTTAACCCTATCAAAATTGTACAACAGCAGGAACATAATGAAGATGTTCTTCTATTATCTTTTCTCTAATTTCTCACACTATCCCCCTGACCCCAATTAGTGAAAAACCAGTCTCATAAGTATTGATGCAACACCAAACCCTATTACTCAAAACTTTTTTTTTTTGGATAGATAATCTTGCAATCAAACAACGAAAACAGGTTGTTGTTTTCTTAATTATGGTCAGAAATGGGTTGTAGTTTGACGTAGAACTCGAAGCTTACCTTTCGAAGAACAAGGGTGGATCGCAGAGGGTAGACGCTGCAACGAGGAAGAGGAACGTAACCCAGTTCAGTAATTCGAGGGTTTAGGACCAATGCCTAATTCTTCTTTTAACAAAACGCGAGATGTCTCTATACTAATGAGATACAAAACAAATATTCATTTATGTAATGAAAAAAATATCGAATTCTTTTTTTTTTTTTAATATAGAATTCTATTTTCCATACACCAAATTTAAACCTCAAATCAAGAAAATTTGATGAAATAACATCAGTTGCAACTGAAATATTCATTTTGTGTACCGTGTAGAGTAGTCATTATTTTTAATTGTAAATATTTTATATTAATATTATAATTATAAAAGAAAATTAAAGTCTCAAGTCAAAAAAAATGTGACATTTTTATTTTTAATTATGAATAGAAAAAACATGGTTGAAAAGGAATATCTTATTAAAAGTGATCAGCTAAATCTTTCGATGAATACTAGTTATAAAAAAATACTTCATACAATAGTTATAGTTTAAAAAATAAATAAAATTTTCAATTATGAAAAAGTGACATTTTTTAATCCTTTGTGCTTTTTAACTTGATTTGTTTCTTAAAGTTATAAAAATTGTGTTTAATATGAAAAATGTTATGCAAGTCTTGATTTTAAATAATGATTTTAGGTTTTAAGTAACAAAATAGCTTTTAAATTATGTATAATTTACGATTTTCAAAAAGCATTTGTGATAAAATTGACTCTACTATTAGACGGTTTTATGGGGAATAATCATTGTCATTGGGGTAATCGGGATATAACTACTTTTCATAAAGTTCAAGAGGTCTAGGAGTTCATCCAGCTCGTTTTGTCAACAATTTTTTACCTAGCAAGCATATATGAAACTTTATGCATGAGAAAGAGATTTGGGTTTGTATGTTTGGCGCTCAATACTTGAAAGGAGTCTCCATTCTTCAAGCAAATATTGTTCAAGGTGTCTCATATACTCGAAATTCTACCACCAAAGTCATGGATCATATCAAGCTTGGTTTCAAACTCGATTGGAAAAAAAAAAAGTCTTTAGTATGATAAATGGGTGATAAATGGCTAGATAATGATTACCTTTGTCATCTTGCCCCTATTGTGCATATTAAATACACTGTTGTTTGTATTTGTGACTTACACATTTATGGGTCTTGGAACTATAATATATTAACTACTAGGATTCCTAATGAAGTAAAAAAGGAACTCATGAACCGCATATTGATTGAATATTGATTGAATGTGTGGAGGATATCATCTTTTGGGTCATTCTTTGAATGATATCTACTCATCAAACTCTATCATTAAATGATTTTCTGCTGAGAAACCATCATTCATCTCTCATTTGACAAACTAGTCTTAGGTCTAGAAAATTAATCACTCGAGAATATCCTTCACTTTTTATGATGTAACTTACATGGTAGTTTATCCATTAACAACTTTAAAATCTTTAAACATTTTTATGGCTTACCTGACATGGGAAGTTACCATTTATCAACAAAAATTAATCTATGAACTTATCGATGAGAAACTTACCTACAAATGCATTCGTGGGAAGTTACTTGTGGATTATTTTGTATAAAATCAATAAAAAAAACTTCTTTTTATCCCATTGTAGGAATCATAATATACCGGATATATTGCAAAATCACATGATAATAATATTATATATTTAATTTTGTATAACACATAAAAATAAAAATAAAATTTAATTAATAACACTTCAACGTCATAAATTTAAAAACAACAATATTAAGTTCTGTACTATCCGTACCGTTATGCCGAGCTTGAGCTCGACATCACAGCGCGGAGTGACCTCGGACACGCGCTAGGCGACATCGGCTCGCTATCCAAGTAGATCATAACTGATCTCAAGGGATCTCGCTCCAGACGAGATTCATCATCTAATCTTATCATATCTTATCTCAGGCCCAGGGCCCAAAGCAACCCTAATTCACACTAAGGTACGTGCATTACTTATACGAGACTGATACTCCCACAAACACTAACTTTAGCATCGGAGTCTCTTTTGCAGGTACCACTCCCATCTTGGAACACAAGCGTACCAGTGAAGGAGGCTCACCAATCTTACCTGGCGGATCAGCTCCACAGCATATTTCCGGTAAGAACATTTGGCGCCCACCGTGGGGCCGATCAAGACAGCTCTTATCGGCCACGCTTATGGTATTCACCAGAAGCCATAGCAGACGCGCAACAGACGACGCAAACCACTCAACTACCATGGACAACGAAGCCACATTGAGGAGACTGATCGACCAGGTCGAACAGATGCAACAGCAACACGACGCCGATCTGCGAAACATGCGTGCCCAGCACGAAATCGACCTAGTTGCGATGCGGACCGCCAATGAAGCAGATCTAGCGGCGCTACGCGCTGAAAACGAGCGGATTCGCGCCCAGCTCCCTCGGCGCCCCTCTGATCATCCTCCTGAGGCGAGCAACCTCCACGAGGAAGAAGGAAACTCGGTCTCTCAGCCCCGAACTGCGACTAGGGCACCGACTCCACGACCTGCCACGCATCGGTCTCATGTTCCGACGAACAAATCGGTCCATGAAGTCAGCAAAGCCCCAACTCATGTCACAGGGGGTCAAGCAACCTTCCGCCATCATCCCTTTGTGGACGGCATCATGGAGACACCCCTCCCTCAGGGGTGGAAGCCTCTCCACCTCGATCGCTATGATGGCACGACGGACCCCGATGAGCACATCGACCTATATACCACACAGGTAAACCTCTACACCAATAACGATGCTATTCTGTGTAGGGTTTTTCTGACCTCGCTCAAAAGGGTCGCGCTCAACTGGTACACCCAGCTACCTGCCGAGTCAATCGACAGCTTCAGCACTCTGGTCAGGCGGTTCACAATGCAGTATGCAACGAGCCGATCTCACCACATCACTTCGACCGCCCTGGCCAGCCTCAGACAGAACGACGACGAGCCACTTCGGGCGTTCATGGAGCGATTTGCAGCCACCTCGGTTAAGATCAAAAATATGAACCCCGAGGTCACCCTGCATGCCATGCTCATGGCACTCAAGCCCGGGCCCTTCGTCGACAGCCTATGCCGTGAGACCCCTCACGATATGGACAAGCTCCGAGCTCGCGCTGCTAGGTACATCCAGATGGAGGAGCATGTCGAGTTCCGCAAGGCAATTCGCGACAAACCACAAGGAAAGCAAGACCAAGGTCAGGCCACGAACATTTAAAGTTGGTGACCTTGTTTGGCGATTATGGGGAGAAGCAAGAACAGACCCCTCCAAAGGAAAATTTGGAACTTGGAATTTCATCCACCTCAAATTTTATTTCTCTTAACTTGTAAATTCAGGGGATGTACTCTTTTTCCTCCTCAGCCTTTTTTCCCACTAAAGAAAAGGGTTTTTGGCCAAGGAAGGTTTTAACGAGGCACCCCTCAGAAATAAATCAACAAAGCAACTCCATTCCCATACATTTTCGATATTGGCACATTAACCATGACGACTAACCAAGGTCGAGTTCGAACCTTGAGATCATATTTTCTTAACCAAGGTCGAGTTCGAACCTTGATATGCCAAGGTCGAGTCCGAACCTTGAAATCACATTTTCTTAACCAAGGTCGAGTTCGAACCTTGGTATGCCAAGGTCGAGTCCGAACCTTGAGATCACATTTTCTTAACCAAGGTCGAGTTCGAACCTTGATATGCCAAGGTCGAGTCCGAACCTTGAGATCACATCTACTTAACAAGGTCGAATTTGAACCTTCAAACAACAAATTTGGGAACTCCTCAGAAGCCCCTTTGCTCTTACATCACTCGGTGCTTGGGGGGCTAGTGTACTGGCCAGCCGAGTTGCCGACTTGTCCCTCACCAATCTGCTGACTCGGTCAAAGGTTTACCAGCCTAACCAAGCAGTAAGCTCATTATTGCCGAGCTCCTCAGCCCGACCATGAAACATGGACATCGGAACACCACATCGGCCCAAAGAGGCCACGTCATCAAACAAATAAAAAATACAATCTTGTCACCGTGCTGCCCACGCGTTATGGGAACGAGGTGATGGTTATGACACATGGCGTCATGACAAATAGGCGTACGCGAAAAGTCACGACCCCTTTTCAAGCTCGGTCTTAACTCCTCGACCTACGGTCTTCGGAGCTCGGGGGGCTAGTGTACTATTCGTACTGCTATGCCGAGCTTGAGCTCGACATCACAGCGCGGAGTGACCTCGGACACGCGCTAGGCGTCATCGGCTCGCAATCCAAGTAGATCATAACTGATCTCAAGGGATCTCGCTCCAGACGAGATCCATCATCTAATCTTATCATATCTTATCTCAGGCCCAAGGCCCAAAGTAACCCTAATTCACACTAAGGTACGTGCATTACTTATACGAGACTGATACTCCCACAAACACTAACTTTAGCATCGGAGTCTCTTTTGCAGGTACCACCCCATCTTGGAACACAAGCGTACCAGTGAAGGAGGCTCACCGATCTTACCTGGCGAATCAGCTCCACAGCAGATTTCCGGTAAGAACAAGTTCAAATATAATACATTCTCATAAAGTTTTAATGTCATAAATTTAAAACAACAATGTTCAATAATAAATTAGTTTTCTATATAATGTTTTAACGATCTAATAATTTGCATAATCCGATAGTGCTCACCTTTTAGTAATTGCAAGTTGTATTGACAATAAGATGTGTATCTTATTCATCAAGAAAGAAGATGAAAGAATTTAATTATCTATCTTTATTTTCATCATGTTTAACTTATCTAATAGGAGGAAAAAAAGAAAGAAATGGATAAGTAAATTTTTAAATTAATATTAGAAGCTTTAGATAAATGAAAGAATTGAGAACTTACCTTGCATGCTTTTCTCTGGTAATGTCTCTTAGAAATTTCCATAACAACAATCAAATGACAAATATCTCAAATTGCCAATAACAAAAAAAAAACATCATTTAGTGAATTTTTATTTTTACTTGTCTAAGTATAATTACACAATGAAACTATTTTTTGTTACTTGTCAAGTATATTAAGCCTAAGTGACTAAAACAAATATAACGAGTATGCAAAAATAGACAAAAAGAAAATAAATATTCAAGGAAAGTCCTTCACATTCAAAGAGATATACATGTACAAACAAAAAAGCATATTGGGAGAGAATAGAAAATCTCTAATTCTAATTAAAATGCAGAGAGAATAAAAATAATGGAATAAATGATCTCTCATAAACGAAATATATAAATAAAACTTATAATCAATTATATTTAAATATATATAAATTGTATTTAATATTAATAAAAATAGATATTTAAAATATTATTTTTATTATTGATAATTTATTTAAAAATATTAAAATTTAATTTATAAATAGAAAAATAAATTTAATAAAAAATTAAAAGAAACTCTAAAAAAAATACTCTGACTGATACAAGAGATTTAATTTACTAAATATATCACTCAATTATATATTGTTAAGGCATCAAAAAAAAAAAAAAAAAGGATTAGCGAAGGTCGTTAAGGACATGAGTGACTCTTTTCAGTCCTGTTAGTCACAGCATCACTTCAGCGCACCGAACTGAATCAAACGACAATGGAAGCCGAGGAAAACGACAGCGTGGTTGTTGAAACGGAACCGTCGAGTTCCCGCGTTTCCGACGCCGACGATCCCCTCCGGCAGAGCTCCGACGTGTTGGCGAAAGGCTTGTCTTCGATGCTCTCTTCGGTGATTAGCGATTTCGATTTCAGAGCTCAGCAAACTCTCAAAAGCCAGGACCACCTCTCTTCCGCCATCGATCGCCTCACCGGAGGTTTATCCTTTTTGATTTATCTGTTTTTCTCTTCCGCTTCTT